TGGACGAAGTGCTAGAGATGTGTGCTCGTGTGGAGAGCGGCAGCACTGGTGAAACGTGTGGAGGTGTTGGGAGAAAAAAAGGAGGCAGGGAGAGGAGTGCAGAGCTGTGCATGTGAATGTGGATCTCTCTCTATCTCCCTACAATGTTTTTGCTTTGTTTTTGTTTGTAAATTTCGGCCAGTCGGCTACTATTTCTTTGTTCGTCTTGGGAATTAGACAGGGGGAAGTAGCCATATAGGGGCGTGAGCCCGCCTTTCGGCATCAGGAGTTACAGCTCGCTCAACTTGACTCTACTTAGTGAAGAGGACCCACATATTGATCTCGTGAGCTGCGTCATGGGGAATTTGCAGTCAGATGTGCGACTGCGGGGCTCGAACACCCGACCTCTTGGTTCGTAAGCAAGTGCAGTGCCCAATGTGCTACAGGGTAGTCCGATGTTTTTATCTCTCTCTCTCTCTCTCTCTCTCTCTCTCTCTCTCTCTCTCTCTCTATCTATCTCTCTATCTCTATCTCCCTCCCTCCCTCTCTCTATCTCTCTCTCCTCTCTCTCTCTATCTATCTATCTACGATCTCTCTCTCTTTCTCTCTCTCTATCTCCCTCCCTCCCCACCCACTCTTGGTGCACCTAAATGGTCATGAAGTCGAGCCCCAGGTCAGCGGAGCTCCCTAAACCTCACCACCACTGTCACGATTCACGTTGTGTGTGCGTCCCTCGATGCAGATCATGTTTAGCATTTAAGTGGTTTTGTATCTCTAGTAGTAGTAGTAGTTTCTACACTATCTGACGTCATGGGTGAGATACTGCATTTAGTGCTGAACATTGTCACGTGTTTATTGATTTACTCGGATGGAGAGCCAAGGATAACTATTAAAAGAAAGAACCAATAATTTTCCATGTTATCCGTAGTCGTCCAACACTAACAGTTATAAGCAAGATGCTGTGTAGTCAGAAGGTGCAACAGCTAGTGCAATACACACTCATGTGATACTGGCATTCAACGACCTGATGTTACCCTCTATCACGTCTCGATCCGAGTCTCACCTGCACACCTGATGAGCCGTCAGAATCCATACGGAGAAAGGTGTGTCGTGTGATACTACTTGTTATTGTCGTTCGTTAATAATCCACCACAAGTTCCATTCTACACGGTACATGTAGTTCATTACGAAGAGATAGTGCCGTCTGTCTAACTTCGTGTTCTCGTAACTTCCTCTGTTTTTCTTATCTTCGATAGACAACAGCATGCGCCTTCCAAGTTGGATGGTTGTCGTTTCGCGTTCGAAGTGAGCCGTGGCCGTCCTGTGCCGTGGTCCTTCGGCTTTCGTCACCATCTCGCCAAAGCCAACATTCTTAGTTTGCTGTGGTGTTTAGCTTGTTGTCGTCTTGAGTGCGCTCAGCTTCCCCTTTCTCATGTTATTTCTGACTTATAACCTTCCAAGTTGAAAGGCTGTTGGTTTGCGCATGCAAAACGTGATCGAGGGTAACATCAGGTCGTTGAATGTCAGTATCACGTCAGTGTGTATTGCACTAGCTGTTGCACCTTCTGACTGGTTTTTGTGCTTTGTTTTCCGTTGCCTACATGATCTTGCAAGTCCTCTTTTCTGCACCTACTTTCAGTTGACGGCTAATACAGGCCAAGCATCCCGGGATGATCGCCGAATTACTCGAGGACAGGAACAGCGGCTACTGCAAGTGCCTTTCCTTCCTGGATCTTCCGGTCGTCAGTCATTGACATTTGTGGGAAGCACTCTTTGGAATGCCCTTCCCAGTGATATTCGCCTCCGCAGTGCGGCTTTTGCCTTTTTTACAAACCGAGCTGAGCTAAACGGCGCTACATTGTATCCAGTGCTTTGCAGATAAATTGTGGTCAATTGAGATCCACATCTGACCTCCACATCTGACCTTGGAGATATGTCGGAGGATGGTGGCCCGCTTCAGTAATAATATTATTATCTTGAATCTACCTGAATGCACAACAGCCAGATTTGTACATGGACCGATAGAAAATTTAGACGCAAGCCACTAAGTACTCTAGCAAGACATTATTGATGAAGCACTAACAGAATCTTTCACATTTACTTCGAAGTGTCATTATTATTATTATTACTTCGTATGACCATACCTTTTGGAAACATCGCTTCTCAACTCCAAACTCAAAAACGGTCTCTTCACTGCGATTCGAATTCAAAATTGCATTACCCCAAATTGTAAGGGCCAGGGCCATCATCAGGGCCCGATGATTAGAAAATTGATAATTAGAAAAGTATGTTAATACCATTATAACTATGAGAGCTGTCATGTCCATTTTAACTCCAATCAACTCCTTTAGCTACAGGTCACGTGACATTCGCTGTATTGCTGCAAGTGGCCACAGCCACCACGTAAAGGGGTAATAATTTTGCTGCACCAAATTTGTCGAGCTGCAAGAAATCTCACAGTCAAGGTCAGAAAATGGCAAGGTTCAGGAAAACTTGGACGCATTTGCCTGTACTATTGTTCGTTCTGGATGTTAGTCACAGGAGTATGACCATACAGACGTTTTTCTTGCGAACAGAATGATGGTTTAAGGAAGTAAGCTGGAAGTGGCAAGAAACCGCTACATGCATCCCCTCGCTTTCACTGTTGCGAGTCGCATGCAACAAACTCGCCAGAACTACGACTAGGGCCAGGGTGTCAGAGGACCCACTGTACCGCCGAACAGCGATGTTCATACCTTTTAAATTCAATATCAAAACGTTTATTTACTGACTTTTCTCGTGTGCTCGTGATGGCAATCGTGAATCAGTCAAGTGAGAATTTAAGTCGGCAGGAAAAGCGAGAGCTCCCACGTAGGGAGCAACACACAATTCCCCGTTCATTCAGTGAACCTTTTTTTATATAACCAGTATGCAGCACCCCACTTGGTCTTTTGCACATGGTATACAATCATATTCATGTATCAAAAGTGTAGTATTACATGTGCATCGCGGATATGCAGTAACTCAGTTCTAAATAGCGTGGAAAGCAATGCCAATACACCGCGTGCGTTCTTTACAACGCTTTCCCTCCCTCAATTGCATTCTTGAAGGTACTCCGCCGCTGGAAAGAGTGTTGGTATGCACCGTCGAGCCGAACGTTGCCAACCCAGAACCCTGCGATGTATTCGAGGTGAGTGAATGTTTACATCCTGGTACTGCTACAGTGTATTTCTTTAGAAAATTTTTATTCCCGTAGCTATGCAGAAGACGTTACTTCAGTAACGTCTGGCGCTAGCCAGGGTCCACACAGCTTTAATTTGGTGTTTGTTTGTTTGTTTGTTTGTTTGTTTGTTTGTTTGTTTGTTTGTGTCACGCCTGGCGCTATCCCGTATCTGTCCCGTACCGTATCGCACAGCTGGCCATTTGCTGGCTCCCGTATCTGTCCCGTACCGTACCGTACCATCAAACACAGCTGGCTACAAACAGCTGGCCACAATAGTATGTACATGTACATGTATACGACTCCCTGTGTGTTGCCACTGTGCTTGAAGGGGACGGTTGCACTTTTCGCAGCTCCGTTTAATCTGAGTTTTCAGTCGTTCCTCTTACTAGTCTTGCCAAGGGGGTGGCTCTGAGTCCACCAGAGTTGCCCCTGGCGTATTTCTGAATTTGCTGGGGCGAGGGTTCCGCGACGCGGTCGCCAAGGCAGTGTCTTTTCAGTCACGACCGTTGTCGTCCTCGTCTCTCCATTCTTGGTGGTGTAGCTGACCCCCGAATGGTTTCAAACTGCGAAGCTCGGAGGAGTACAGTGGTGGCAGAGGCATGAGCTGTGAGTGGAGACGGTTGCTGGAGATGGATGGTGATGCAGGGAGAAGAGTTACGCTGCCTGACGCCGCGTGGGAAATTGTTTGAACCTGCAATTTCAGTTCGAGCGCGGTGGACTTCTAGACGATGTGTCCTCATGGCTGTTTTTCAACGCTTGGCCTATCGCTGATATCCCTGCGTGGGATGTTCTTCCAGTGGAGTCCAGGTGGGACTTCGGGTGCCCACATGTGCACTCCATCACCTGGTTGATTGTTTCGGAACTGCAAAAATAATTATTGTTTCCTATTTTGTGCGCATCTCTTGTCATCTCTTTTTTCTATACGTCGCACACCAGATGTACTACTATCGCCGTCTTTCTCTTGCTTTCTCTCCCTGCTTGCTGTTTTTTTTTGTTTCTGTTGCCACTGTCCCTCATCATACCCATGCTTGGGTGGTGGGCGGCGTGACCCGTTAGGGTAGCTGCCAATACAGTACGACTCCCTGATGTATAGAGAGACTTTCTGGAAAGAAATAGGGAGACGAGGAAATGAAATTAGAATGGATGTTAGTTGCCGAATAGGTGATAGGATGCGTCAGTAAAAACATACTTTGGAAGAGACATCCCGTCGTCTCCAAAATAGGCGTGGACGGGCGAGTCAGCGCCGGTCACAGGAAACGTCGGCAGAGAGATCCCGTCGACTCCAGAACGCGCGTGCTCGGCAGAGTCAGCACCGTTCCAGGAAACATTTCCATCAGTTCCTACCACATGCACGATGAGCTAAGTAACAAAGCATAGCGTAGGGCCCTGAGCTTCCAAGCTCTCTCGTTTATTATGCAAAATCGTTGGCACACGATCCAATGTGTCTCTTCCCATTCTGTAGGGCACCGGACTTTGCATGGATCCAAAATAAAATCAACTCTTTAAAACTAACGTGCTTGTCATGTTCCTTACGGGGGAACACCAAACTCAGCGTCAAACTCAGCGTGGAGCTTTTCACGAAGGCAGAGACTTGCTTTCGGAGAACAACATTCATTTGCTTTTAAACCTCGTAAAGGAGTTAAAACTTGTCTCGTGCTGATTGGAAAGTTGCAGCCGCCCACCTACGTCGATAAAGGGTCACCCAAGTGACAAAAAGGCCTCCAAATGCCAAGATTCCGCTATTCGTAGTCATACTGAGTGCGTTCGATTATGCCCACGAATAGATTCAAGAATCGATCCGTGCTATTCACATCACCACACGTGAATAGGGTGCATGGATTCCGAATCGATTCCAGGGCTCCAGACATGTAATCGAACTGCGAGATTCCATTGAATGATGATGATGAGGCTGAGGGCCGGCCCGGAGCCGTCAGATGCTAAAACCGACCTTTATATGGGAAAAAATCATATCCTATGTTAGTTGTACTATCTGAACGCAAGGAGCATCAGGAGTCGTATGCAAAAACACTAGAGTTGATTTGGACCAAGGGAAGTAAAGTTATAGCCTCTACAATAGGAGACCATTACAAATTGCATCTCAATTTTGGGTGCAATACCAACAATTGTTTCACCTACTTTGGAGAATGTTTTTGGTTTCCTTTTGCCGATTTCCACAAACTTAGGCTTTCTGGAAAGCTCTGGCGACGAGGAACCGGTTGGGCCCAAATCCGATAGCAAATAAAGCACAGCACAAGCGCAACAAGCTGCAGACATCGCTTCAGCGCTGGACTTGCGCCGTCACACGAAAAACGCTCGCCATTTCCATCTCCATCATCCCAGGACGCCCAATGTTTTTCGTGAAGATGCCGTGAGAGCTTCCAAGACGTCTGAGCCTGTTGCCGAGATCGTAGATCACTTGAAAAGTGGGAAACCCCAGGTCTGGAGCGTTTGATTTACACGGAGAAATGCAAAGTGCCGTGACGTATCTTGCACGCTTCGTATCTGGGGAACGTAGCATCGTGCCGCGATCGCGCTTGCTGCATTGGATTCCTTGGAGTTTTCTCTTCGGTTTACATACTTGGATTGTCCCGAAAGACCGATATTTGACTGAAATACGAAGGTTTGTAGCTTGGTTGTCCAGGCCAACCAGTGCGCAAACTCGCCAACTTTCAACTGCATTTTTCTGCACTGTGCAGTGTTTTCCATAAGGTCGGTTTTCGCATCTGACGGCTATTTAAAACTGTATAATGAATCGATTCAAGGGCGTAATCGAACGCACTCACTGAATCCAATTCGTTGACGTGAACACCTTCTTGGTCTGACCTTAACATCCCTGCTCCATCTTGATCATGTTGTTACCTGCTGCACCACATGCTGGAGACTTTTTCTGCGCCTGCCTCGTTTCTTCCAAATCTCCACTATAGCCAATCCTATGAAGAGAAAGTGTAACTTGGAGTGACACACCATAACTGTTGCCATTATTTTGCTACGCCCCCGTACGCGGTGTCATTCGATGTGAGGTGGCTAATAATAATATTGAGCTCATGTCATGCCAAAATGACAGACAGCTTCAGAATATTAGCCGCAAAAGAGTATTAACACTGCTTTCCCTTTCTTGTGGCTCGGCACACAGTATCCTATGTTCAAAGGATGGAGGAGGCATGAGTCGAGGAGAGAGAACCTGGCCCACGCGTACGACCTGGGCATGTACATCTTGTTGGAAGTTCAAGGACGCGCCTTCCGCATTCCCCTCGACAGGTAAAATTTGATTGGTATATTAACAATATGCGTAGCATGCCAACGGAACAAGTTCAGACCATGATCGATAGCGATGCTAATGTATCGCATATGAACTATTCTCATTGTCCGCACAGTTGAGGAGTGAACTTTCATATTATTTTGCTACACAAACTCTTGACCTTTCTACGCTTTTTTTCTTTCTTCTGATGTTTTTTGCAGATGCCATGTTAATATTTCAGGCAAGGACATGATGTTTGCTTGGGAAGGTATGAGAAAGGACGAGGAAGGACTGGCAATCAGCATCCGATTCTCAAAGAAAAGTCACGTAAGCGCAAATATAATCAAAGAAAGTGATTTTGTGAACAAAATTTTCTTCAGAAGTTTAGACGGACTCGGCCATTTGAAAATAATTTGAACCTATCCACCTCTGCACACTGCGCTCTTGACCCACATTCACCACTCCATTGCGAGGTACTTGGGTAGGTAATATGTATCCTCCAGGCAGCTGTTTCACTCACTGAGAGCTCCGCAGTACTTCTTTGGATAGGCCACTATTCTATGCAGAAAGTGCGCAATTGCGCCTCGCTTGCTCTATAAATATACTCATTATTCTATCTGCTATTCATTCGCTATCTACCTCCACTGAGAAGCTCTCAATGATGAGCGAAACAGCTGTTTGGAGGATTCACATTATTTCATCCAACTATCACACACTTTCTTTTCTGAACTTTTATCACACGGCATTTGCTTCTTTTCGCTCTATACCCTTTTAATCTCTTCTCTTATTGTTCTAATGTCCTCACCGTTGTCTGCAGTGCTAAGAAAATAAATAAATATTTGACTTTTTTGCAAACATCAGCTTGTGCCCGCCGCCATATGGATGGCCAAAAATTGCTGGTGTGAATACGCTTGTGTGCGTGGGCCGCCGCATGTCAATACGTGTAAGGAACGTATTGGTCCCATCTACTGTTTTCTTGCAGAGGAAGGTACTCAAAAGTGCCATCAAACGAGAATGCAAGCAGTCTCAGTGAGTATTCAATCTCTATGAATGGAAACTCTTCGAATTGAAATTATTATTCTTGGACGGTCGTTCGAACTGCATGTACATGTAATTTGAAGTCTGATCTAGTCTCAAGCCTGTCTCATGCAATTTACCTTCAGCTTTCAACTTGTTGCCTGGTCATGTACACTACCACTAGCCGTGTTGCGAAGACTATTTTTAAAAAAGGTTTAAATTTAGGAATGGGTTTGCTCCCACAAGTGTCAAGTCAAGTCGGCGGAATAGCGAGAGCTCGAGTGTGGAAGCAAACCCATTCTTATAAAAAATCATCGGCGAAGTCGCAACCACTAATTCGCAAGTTTAAATTCATTACAGAAACTCAAAACACATGTACATGTACATTTGTTGCGCACTTGCATTTCCATTCCAGGTTCGTCGCGGACAAAGATGTGGAATTTCCCCTACCTACACCAACAACAGTTACTGCAACTGCTTTTTACACAGCATTGTAGTCAAGCATGATGTCATCATTATTTGAGTCAATCTGTTGATCTTGAGTTTTGAACAATAATCTATTAGGCCAAAACAAAAAATAGGCTTGTTTCCGGTCGGCAACCCCTCAGAAAGGAGACTCGGTCGGCCGGAATGAAACTTTTTTTGGATACTTTTTTGGTTCCTCAATCGTTGTGGTGTTGATGGACAAGAGCACCTACACATGTACATTGTACATATATCATGGCAAGGATCAATGTCCAAGTTGACTGACTCACTGTTCTTGTACAGCATGTGGTGTATTCCTGTTTTCGTACATCCTGAGAAATCAAGCAAACAGTTCGAGTCCTTCCAGCTCCGTTCTTCTAACTCATATCGACCCCGGAGGTTTTCGAGCCGACAGCTGAGAATCTCTGCTACCTTGTAGGTGTTTCGATTGTGGAATTCGGTTGAGATTTGACTGAGTTATGACTCGTTGAGTGCACTTGCACACATGGCATTGCCACCGTTTGTATGCATTTGGGACCAAAACTAGTTTCAGAATTTGGGAAAAAGTGGCCCGGTCGGGCGACCGGAAACAAGGTCATTATTTGTTTTGGCCTTAGCATTAGCCAAGCCTGACTGCAATATTCCTGGCATTTGTTATCCCGGACGACTCCGCTGCTAAGGCGTTTGCATGTTTCGTAGAGCCTCCGAACTAGGATATTGTGAATGGGACAATGCAGTGATGGTCGTGGTAACATTGATGATCTTGTTATTTGATGAGGTACATGTACACTGGACATTACTATGTTCATAGCAATTATCACCCGCACTACTTACGTGGCAGCATGGCTGTTGCTGACATCGCTCGCCAGTCATCACCAAGGTGTGAGCACAAAGCGAACTCCATTGGTCGAGCGAATGTATGCATTGCACAGTATTTTTATTTATTTATTCAACATCTCCTGGCCCGTCCGAAGACTGCCAATAAACATGAGAGGTCAGGTGATAGCCAACCACGGCAAGCTAAAAGGGAGAAAAAGAAAGATGCTGTCAGAGAGGGAAAGGAGATAGGGAGAGAAAAAGAAAGGGAGGCACATTAGTAATACATGGGATCACTTCGGATGAGACAGTGTGGAAAGCTGGACTTTGAATTTCCTGATATCCTGGCATGTCTTAATGCTAGTAGGCAGGTTAGACCAAAGGGAGTATGCTGAGAAGAAAGGGGATTTCAAAAACAGAGAGGATTTGCGTGTGTGCGTGCGTGCATGCACTCGATGACGCCAAAACTAATGGTGCACATTAGGAGCTGAACACCATACCAGTGACAGTTACTAGTTTAATATGCATTCTGCTCCCCAGAGATACTGAAGTTCATGAAGAGCAAATGCATGGCACAGTACAAAGCAAAGCACCGTTACCATGGTTACTGTTGTCGCCCGGACGTGCTCAATTCACGAAGTGGAAATTGGGGGGAAAAAGCTCGGAATGGCACGAAATTGGTCTGTTGTAACTCTGGTGTTCTAAGCATTTGGGTCACTGCAGGTGAAGATCCATACCAACGTACATGCACATCAGGGTACACTGTAGATGGCTCTGAATACGAGAGGAGCCAGCCAGTTACAATACACAACGAACACCAAGTAAGTTCCAAAACATGGATATGCGTCACCAGATCACCGAGTGGGATATACGTGTACAGTATTTCGAAGTACTTGAACATGGAGAAGACAGCTGGCGATGATGATCATACGAATTTTTGACTACGATCATCCCTTTAGCCTCGCGCACTGTTTAAAGCAGCTCTTACAACTACGGTGTCTCGTGTTGAGTGATTTAAGTTCCTATTAGATAATATCATATTGTAGAAAACCACCTTTTAGTTAGTTTGACAGCATGGTATTCCACCACCTTGTAATATGCTGTCAAATTGTACTTCGAAGTACATGTTCCTGGACAATCTTGTTATAATAGGCCATTCACACTACGCCCAAAACGTGGCGTACGTGACGTTTTCGTCCGGATAGCCATGACAACATGGAACGTGGCGGGAAAATCGTACCCCTGATACGAAAACGTAGACGACGTATCTGGACCCCTGTACCGAGTTTCGTTCTGTCGTTCCTGGCAGTTTGTGTCCAAAAGAAGCTGTACACACAGCTGTACGAGCAGCGTGTACGTGCCTGTGTGAATGCACCTGCATGAAAACGACGTCTGCTAGTACGTCGTATTCCAAAACCTGACGCATATTGTAACGTAGTATGAATAGCCTATTATACAGTGCTGGCAACTGAAATCCGACCCCTGAGCGGTGCGCTCACATCGCAAAGACCCAACACGGGACAGTAAAACTACGAAACAGAGACCACTAGAATGCGGATGCACGGCTCAGTGGTCGGATTTCAGTTGCCAGCACTGTACGTGCATGTAAAAAGCAGAAATTTTCGGTGAGGTTTTATTTTCGGTAACTTCGGTGCCGAAATATTTACCGAAAATAAAACGCACCGAAATTGTCCGTATAGTACTAGTACACTTACCTGGAACGCGGGTTTACCGAAAATTTCCCTCCGCCGAACCACCGATTTTGGAGAATACCGAAAATATTACACCACCGAAAATTTCTGCTTTTACAGTACTCGAGTATTAGAAAAGCCTTTCTTGGTTGAAAAGTTGAAAACATGTTGTCTTGTAACATACTGTCAACCAAACAACCAAACAATCGAATTCTTGTCGATAGCATGCTGAATGGGAAGAGAAGTCCAACCTTTTACTACATGCACATTTTTAATGTCCTTGAAAGTAGTCAGGTTTCCTGCCAGTCCAGCGCTGTTACCGCTCCTCGCAGGACTACACCCTACGGCAGTGGGGCCAGAATCGAAATACGTGTGCATGTGCATGTAGTAAAAGGTAAAATAAATTATACCAACCAACCAAACATTTCATTCTACGCTCCCCCAACATCAACGGCTACTACGGATTCAGCAGTGTCGGCTTTCGCTATCCCAGTTTTCTGAGGGTACGACTCTTTTACACCAGCGCTTAGAGCGTATACTAACTACTTACGGTGCAGCAAAGTGCCCTGCTTCACGTATCTGCCTCGCATCCATCAGAAGTGCAATCATAAAGTACGTGTGTACGGATCAAGAAGTACTAAATTATTGTGGCATTTTTACTGCTCCTGATGGTATAGATTGACCGTGACCGCAGCTCTGTCCGACGAACAATGACATCATCCGACAGCCACTATCAGCATGCATCTATACGTAGTATTTTGTAACGCATCTAAGCGTATAGCTTAGTTGTACAAACATTTCCAGCGTATATGTTTTCAGTACTGCGACCGCCATCCCATAATAGCCCAAATGTATATCCACTCGCTGTCTTCGTTGAGAGACAAATTTAACGAGCTTGAAACCTGCAACCGGGAACGACGTTGGATAACCTCACATTCAACATGCCCTATGAAAACAACTTGCCTGCACTTGAATCAATCCTACCATATGCCGTCGTAATCCTTTTTTGCGTAGTTGTCTTGATCGCAACCATTTTCTTCTACACTGAAATACAAAATAACCACCAAAAACGAATCGCCGCTAGCAGTGATGACAAGGATTGTGGCAAACAGCCACGGTCCCCACAAAAAGCCGCTGACCCCAGGCCTCCAACGCCGGATGATGGCGACGGATCACCAAAGAAAGAAGAGCACTCCCCTGTAGCTCCTGTCCATGGTATGTGTGCATGAAAAATCCTGAATGACGTCGCTTGGAATGTATCTATCTTTCTTTCTCTCCTGCTTTTAGTGTCGGTACAATATTTTGCTTTTGGTGAACGTTACTCTCTAGGAATTGTGTGTTACTCTCTTTGACAAATAAGCGTTCCTGGGCTTTTGGAAAGTACTGAATGTGAATGTGGATTTATCATTAATAGAGATGATCAAATCAAGAAACTCAATACTTTTACTGGGGTCTGACCACGTAAGTCTGATGGTGTCAAGTTTTGCGTACATGTGCCGTTTGACGGCAGGCAGATTGCTCAGTCTTTTGATGATTAAGAGAAGATCATCAACGTATCGACCGAAGAACTTTATGGTGTTACGGAAGACTGAGAGTGATGTACGCTCATGGACGAAGAGGAAAATATTTGCAATATTAACCGCCATGGGTGTACCCATGGCCACGCCATTCTCTTGGTGATACACCAAACCATCATGCTCGAAAAAATTATTTCTTAGCACAAAAGAAAATTAATAAGATCAATGAGCAAGTCTTTCATGGGGTGATTATTTTCGTCGAGGAACACGTGCAAGGCATTGGTCGTGTCTTTCCACGACATACATGTGTAAAGACTTTCGACGTCTGCAGTCAAAAGGGAGCAGTCACTCAAGTCATCGTTCGACGGAGTGATCAAACTCTTTACAACATCGTTAATAGAAGTAAACAAAGTCTAGGAATTGTGTGTTACTCTCTTTGACGTGGATAGTATCCATGCACGCCCATACACGAACTGCCAGCATGCACGGCAATTTGGACGATGACTATAATTGAGAAGGGAGCGTGATTTACGTCTTGCCTGGTAGCCGCCTTTCCAGTCGTATTGCTCCACCCCCCCCCCAACAGTTATCTGGAAACTGGAGGCCAGGTACGACTCTCTCCCCTCTCTATCTACCTATATCCCTCTCCCTCTCTCTCTCTCTCTCTCTCTCTCTCTCTTTCTCTCTCGATCTCTCTCTCTCGATCTCTCTATCTCTTTCTCTCTCTCTCTCACTCTCTCTCTATCTCTCTATCTATCTATATCCCTCCAGCTCTCTCTTTCTCTCTCTTTCTCTCCCTCTCTCTCCTTTTCTCTCTCTCTCTCTCTCTCTCTCTCTCTCTCTCTCTCTCTCTCTCTCTATCTATCTATCTATCTATCTCCATCTCTCTCTCTCTCTCCATCTATCTATCTATCTTTCTATCTATCTATCTCTATCTACAAATATTACACAGCAATGAATCAAACAAGTCTCATTCCGCTGTTACCCCGAGTTTCGTGTCAGAACACTTCATCAGACAGCATATGACCAAGACTAACAATCACTAGAATATATATACGGAGAAGGGGAGAAGGGCCTATCTATCTATCTATATATTTCTCTGTCTCTCTCTCTCTATCTATCTATCTATCTATCTATCTCTCTTTCTTTCTCTCTCACTCTCTTCCTCTCGCCATCCCTCTTCTCTCATTATGTCTCATCTCCCTCCACGGTACGTGCTGTGTGCCTAGAAACTGAGGCATTGGTCAGGAGCGATTTTTCGGGTCCATGATTCGTGCTTTCCCTCAATTTCTATTTTAAGTGTTTGGCACTTCCCTCCTTCAAAGGGGATCGAGGCTGTCAGCTGCACTGGTGCGGCGTGCACTCAGGAACGGAAAGCTTGCTACAGATATGCCAGTGCTTGGACGGGTCATGGTGCGATCAGATACCAGCAGCCTGCCTGGATGGTGTGCTGGACAGCTCCCGGACCGCAGGCAATGGTGAAGACTGGCTAGGGTAGGTGCGCGGCATGGTGGAAGATAGCACTCTGCCACGTGCATTGTTTTACTAGTAGTTATCTTAAGTTAACCTGAGTTGGTCGGTGAGTGAGCCCACCGTGGAATGGAGGGCGGATTCTCTCATGAATCCAGTATTCCTTTTCTTCGGTTCCACGCCCCAACCGCACCACTATACCATTGACCGTTTGACGCCCATTGCCAGAGGCGATGATAGTAATGCTACAGCAGTAGCTATAGCATGCCATCAATGCCCCGCCATCACTGCTGCGTCTCGGTGCATCGCGTGCTCATTAGTTGTCACGTTTGTCCTAGTCTCCGTACCATTTTCTGGCCAGCGAAGCCCTACTTTTTGGTCTTTTTTCCATTTTTCCGCACACACATCACACCACATACTCCGGCATGCACTGGCTGTTGGTGACCACCCAGGAGAATGAACGAAAAGCCAGGCGGAGTCGGAGAATGAGAGGAAAGACGTGTGTGACGGCTATACAAACACACACACGTACGCACACGCGCACACAAACTCTCGCAATCACATTCACACAAAAGCGGCATGATTGCTATCATCTCTCACACCTGTTGCTAACAAAAGTTCGACTATGAATATGATGACACAAGGTAACGTTATGCTCTTGCTTGTTTGCTTCACAGTTGAAACGGATGAGGAGGAGAAGGAGGACGTATTTTTTGGAACATCCATTGCGAACAACATGCCGATAAAGCTGATTTACAGTATTATGGATGATGAGAAACGCAAGTACAGACATACCGTTCGAATGGTAAGCAAAGCCGTCCTTATACAGTGCTGGCAACTGAAATCCGACCCACGAGCGGTGCATCCACATTCTGGCGGTCTCTGTTTCGTAGTTTTACTGTCCCGTGTTGGGTCTTTGCGATGTGAGCGCACCGCTCAGGGGTCGGATTCCAGTTGCCTGCACTGTACTACGGCAATTTTAAAACCACTATTTCGATTTGCATTCTTTTACATCGAACGCTCAACTGTGCAGCTTCACGGCGCGTAGAGACAGGTAGAATGGTGAATTTGGGATGGTTTTCACTGCTTTTCAGGCTCTTTCTCATCTGCAATCAACACTAACACGGTAGTTGGAGAACGTTATGCACATCCTTGGGAAGAAGATTCGTGTTCTCCATGCTATTAACATGAGCGATGTGCTAAACGCTCTAAATATTGTCAGAGAAGACATTGCCCGATATCGGTCGAAAGCAACTGGGTCAACATGAAATCGCGTTACACATACGCTTGAACTGAGGTAATGACAGACAGTGTTTCAGGTCATAGCCTAGAGCGCTAAAGAACGGAGCAGCAGAGCGAACCACGTTGTAAAGAACTCGACCGAGTGTGCTTCTAAATACTGAAACTGGAACTAGAATGGCTTGCGCTGACACATGTAAATGTAAACAGATTTCTAGCAAGTAGTGAAAAATAACTCTGGACGACTGCTTCTTTTGCCAAATGGTCGAGAAACTTAGACTTGTCCGTGGACTCTCACTCCTAGCAGTCCAAACGATTTTTTTTACTATTGAACACTCACTGCATGATGAACGAAAATGAGGAGGAGAATTCGACACAATGGTACATATCCAGCAGGACGGAGTGGGATTTCCGATTTTCGAAATGCAGAAACACTCTGACACCATTTCTCGCAACTATGCAAACTCCTAGTACACTGCGGGTATGTGGCAACTATGCGCATTTCAAAGTAGGTTGCAAAGTAGGAAACACAACCGCTAATACCGACCAATTGCGCCGACTATGTTGTTCATGAAAATGTTGCACATCCTGAGGATATCAGGACATTATGGTTCAAAAGCTGGTAAAACAGATGAAGGGAATGTAAAATGTTTACAAAATAAGGTGACGAAAATACGACATCCTGGGAGGACATACCAAATGCTGTAGACGGACAGTTTTTATTTATTTTATTATTCCAAGCAATACACACTCGAGAGGGACGGAAAGCGTTTCTTCTGTAACTCTGAGTTTCACGGTTTTAACGGATCATCAGACAGCTGTCTGATTGCTGTTTGATGATCGGTTAAAACCGTGAAACTCAGAGTTACAGAAGAAACGCTTTCCGTCCCTCTCAAGTGTGTGCACTAGGCTCTGCACCTTGGTGTATTGAGCACTCTCACGAGTAAACACAACTCCCTCCGAGTATTCCAAGCAATACATGGCTGGGGTAGCCAATGACCACTTTGCGTGGCGATTGAAGGGTTTTTATAGTTATCTGTTGCGCCCATCTAGATTTCATCAGGGCAGCTGCAACCTATAATGTAGATTCAAGTATTGTCCATGGCATCGCAGGCACTACATCTCGTGCCGTTACGCAATGCAGCATCCTGAAGGCTGCAGTTGACGTCGAGTGAAAAAAAATCTACGCCGTTGCATTGCGCTAAGCATACCTCGTATGGTGTTCAGACCGTAGTTTGAGGTGGTAGGAACAAGGAATCGGGCCACGGGTTGGTGTTGCCCTCACTTGCTGCAGAGGTGTTGCCCTCACTTGCTGCAGAGCGAACAGAGGAAGGTTTGCTCACAACATTCTTCAGGTACAAGTCCGACGAGAGTTGATAGAAAAGCAATCCAGTGGGGTTCGGCTACTAGTAATAGGAAGCTCCAGTTGCTTGATAGAGAGCAACAGCATTGCCAAACCCCTTCCTTCGAGTTCTGCCGAGAGCAAGGCGACCCAAGGAAAACAAAACTAGAAGAAATGATGAAGGTGAACAGCTAGAAATTTTCTTTTCACCATGGTGCCACGTGAGGGACGCTACGCTACGATGGAATGCATACGATCGTCTCTCATTGGTCATTCAGCATCCCCACGGCCACATGTACATAACACTTTTATCACGATCGTGTGAAATGGGTTCAAATGGCACGTACAGTACTACGGAAGCCATGTCCACGTCACAATCACGTCGTTCGATAGCTCAGTACTGCAGTCAGTAGTAGGGAGTACGAGGTTATTCGCACTTTTTGGACATGCCGCAATTTTTGGACAAATCTGTTAAATATGGAAGTAGAGGCCTCCTGGGTCGTTTTCCTTTCCTTGGTGGACAAATCTTTGACAAGAGTGTCTTCGTGTGGTATACTCGCTATAATACAATAGAGACAGAGAACTTCATTCGGAGTCATAAAGCCATTACTAAATTAGCCAAGGACTTCGAGATTCGTAGATACATTAGACCAGTGTTTGTTAATTCGTGTTGCAATTGTCTGGCTGCTGTCGTGTGTTCTTCTGGACAGGTGGAGCGCGGCCGTGTCGAGGAGAAGCAAGACAGAGTGACCATCCATTATGAGGATATCATTGTAAGTGTACAGCAGCAACGGGCTCTCCGGAAACTGTAATGTTGCATACATTGTACTTGTATATGCATATTGTGTACAGGACATAGACAGTGTCCATTGAAACTTGAAACTTTAATCATTTTTAAGGATTACCCAAAAGTACCTCGCCTGTCGAGGGAGCCTCGACAATCGGAAGTGTTCTTACAGGTGAAACAGTGAAAGGTATATTGAATTATAATGATCATGCAGATCTTTCATTAATCATGAAGGCTGGTAAACGGACCTGATTTTGGAAGGTAGATACGGTGCTGAATTTATTTTTGGAGAAAAAGGGTAGGAAAGCGCTGTCTGTGGTTGGTTATTAGTTCTAGTTTACAGTGGAACTTGTAACTAAAGACCACCGTGACTAGCGACTAGCCTGGTACTAAAGACCACTTCTCCAGGCACGGACGGTCTCACATTATGGTTGTGCGGTGCAAACCTCCAACTAAGGACCATCTGTCACTAAAGACTGCTTTCTCTGGCCCCAAGGCTTCACTGTAGTTGCTGTTGTTGTAGAAGTTTATTTAGCGTCGCACCACAAACAGGCGATTTCGCCTCCTTTGATATAATTATGTGGACGACAGAAGGAATGAGAGAGAGGGGGGGGGGCAGACGTACGGAAGAGAGGAAGTTGCCAAGCAATACATGGCTGAGGCAGCCAATGACCACTTTGGGTGGCGATTGCAGGGTCTTATAGCCAACCACGGCTAGAAAGGAAAAGAGTAAGAAGTCGAAAAGAAAGGAAAGGAACAGAAGAAAATATGGACTAAACGTGTAGTCTAAAGCAAGGCATTCCTGAATGTGGAAAGGCCCTTTGTCTCATTGTGCAGCAAGATGCACCGCACATAGCCATAGGAAAGGGGTGTGTTCCAATGCAGAAGAGCGGGCTAGAGGAGTATCAGCGTGTTGGAGCGGCAGTCACTTTACGTAATATGGGTATCAAATTTTGATAAGCAGTTGGGATAAAGGGATAGTATGGACTTGCAAAATGTGGCGAGTATCTTAGGGGGAGGGCTATGGACAGGAGTAACATTCAGCAGCAGGATGGGCGAGAATTGTCGTCTGACCCGCAATAGACGCGCCCACAACAAGGACCATGGCTGACTGGGAATGCATTACGGTGGCCCAGTGAAATGAATTTCCGCTATTACCAGAAGCGCTTCTTGGCACACCTTACAGCTCAGGGAACGTTCCATGGGCACTAGGCAGGCGTGTATTCACTCTTTTGGCCAAACCGTTGCAGCTTAGAGAACGGTCCGTTGGCGCATGGCGGGTATGTATTTACCGATATTTCGCAAGGTGTGTGTGTATTACCAAACTGACAAAAACTGATTGTGCTGTTTTCCGTTGCTTTGCTGTAGGTCGAGCAAATTCCGTACTCACAGTAAGTCATGCAAGGTCTTCAGAACATACAAATCATACAAGGGGTTTTACTAGTACCAAACTACATGAAATAAGCTCAAGTCTCAGAGCTCAAAATGCACATATACATGTATGTACTGGGGTATGAACTTCTCTATGAAGACCAAGAAAGATAGCGCACACTTCAAGATCTTTAACAGCACGAGTAAGCTTTCGTGCCACCTCTTAAAGTGATTTACAGGCAAGAAGAGAGGAACGGGAACAGTTTACTTGTAAAACGTTTCCGTGTATTTTTGTCCAGTAACCTGAAAGCTCTTTTAGTGTTCTGAAATTTCTGTCACCAAGGAAACAGTGCACATGTCAGTGTTGTTGTTGTTGTTGTGTTTATTTTAATTCGCAAACCAAACGGTATGTACATGTATGCCCGCTAAGCCTTACACTTGTTTCCGCCTGCATCCACCTTAAATCCCCATTATGCTTTGACCAGTCTGCATTGAATATTGTTTGGCTAATGGTAAATAGTGGCGGGGAAATAGAGCAGTTCCAGCACAGCTACAGAAACATGGACATAAAGCTAATCATTGTATCGCAAGTTGCGGGAATACACCAATAATGCAAGAACACAAGAAATAAAAGCTGAATACATACGACTGCATGACATTGGAGCACGAAGTAAAGCAAAAGTTGTTTCGACCTGGTTAGGTCTTCTCAGCAGAGATCAGAGTGCCTGGTGAAGTTATAATTATATCATTTTCGTATTACTAGCGCTTGTCGAAATCCATTTTTCAAACAATATGAGAGCTCACCTGTTGCTTCGAGTGTTCTGGCGGCCTACAGCCATACTTACTTCTTCTTATTATGTCTTCTGCCCATGCGTACATAGTATTATGAGGGTCACATACTTCGAAGACCATGTATCCGTGGTTGTAAAGCTCGACGGCATGGACCATATCGTTGTGAAGTTTTATGGACGGAAGGATCAGGTGAGTAACCATGCCAACATACAGCTACATGTACATTGTACATGCAAAAAAAATAGTAAATTATCGTGTCCGTTCCCGAAGGGAACTCACGACGGCCGCTAACACCCGATAAACCCCAGCGGCAGATTATACATTGTACATGTACAGCAGAGTTTAGTGGTTACAGCATCGCTGGCTTCAAGCGAAGGTCCCTTGACCCTTGCTCGAGTTCTGGTGGCTACAGTCAATTTTGTCTTCAGACAAACATGTAGTCCCTTCTCAGCTGCATCAACTAATGAAAATAATCAAAATATGTAATACCGGTACATGCACATGACTGTATACATGTAGGTGATTCGTCTTCATCATGGTACATGTACATGTACATGCAAGACCAAGATGAACGGTTATAAGGTGGTAGGGGCGGTACAACTTTTTTGGTGTAATTTTGACAGCAATTTTAGTTTATCGACAAGGTGGAGATAGAATTTGGAAAATGTTTTTTCGCTGAATCTCTGGAGAAGAACCCTCTCCAACTTTCTATAGTCCTATTTTTACTTTGGGGTAACATTTGAAGACGTGTTATGGCAGCAGTTGGGAAAGATTGCATCACGGCATGAATTCAAAATTACCCATCAGTCGGACTCACACGTCATGCCTGGCTTCGATTTCTGCCTTCCTTGTGCATGTATTGTGCTGTATTATATAACCCAATACAGTAGTACAGTTGCGCTCACTGAAATCCGACCCTACGTGCAAAGCTGGTGCCCTCAACTTCTTCGGCCCTTGACGCCCTGGAAATGGAATGAATGCGGTTGCACGTACACATGTACACAATAGTCATACAATGATGCACAGCTTTGCACTTTGCACTTTGAGTCGGATTTCAGTGAGCGCAACAGTAGTACAATACTAGTAGTAAGGTGATGACTGTGTTCCGAACACAGTGTTTCCACTTTGTTTCATGCTGTCAAACTAACAACATGATTGCAATGATGTATGCATTGTGTTGTACACGTGTGTTGCTCATCATTCAGATGGATTTGATGTACGAAGCTCTGAAGCCTCACATAACTGTCCCGCCAGAGGGCTGCCCCAGCGCTAGGGCGCGTGCTGCGAATCGCTCACCAAGCCCCTCCAGCCGCACCCTGAACCGCGTCGTTTCACGCCGACCGGGTAGAATCGACTTGAGCCAGGTAAAAGCCGCGGTCGCAGCCGCGACCCGCCCCGATCGAGAGTTGAGCTCGATAGCATGCGCAGCCTCCCCGGAACGCACCACGTAAGCAATGCATAATGCGCTTATCATCTGCATAGGTGTACACGCACACAAACTATTTTGCGTGCGTGTCTAGGCGTGTTGCTGTTTGCTGTTGTTGATTTATTTAATATTTTTACATCGCATGTCAAACGGGCTGTTCTGCCTAATATAAAAACCATGTGTGTGAAAGGGTATACATGTATGATATAATCCAAAACTGGTAAACCAGTATTAGATAATCCTTGTTGTAGTTCACGCAATTGTTAGATTGAAAAAGAAAAGGAAGTTTTTATACAAGTTAAACAAGAGCAAAGACAACAAGACGACATCAGGAGTAGTCTCCTAACTCCCTAGCATAACGAGGGTCAGAACCGGGTGCGATACCCATATGGTTCAAATGGTCCGCAGGGACCGGGGCTCTGCCAACCGCGGAAGGTTGTAGTAAGGTCACTGTTTTCGAACACAGTGTCCTCCACCTTGTTTCATGCTGTCAATCTAACAATTGCATGTACATGTATTTATTACAGTGCGTTTCAAAGGTCCTCAAGAATTTCTTGAGTACACTCGTATCATATTATGAAAAGAAGAAGGACAAAATGTTACGAGTTATGACTAACTGTCCACCAACGTAACCAGATCTTATACAGTCAGCGAGTGCGACAAAATGGCACAAAACTAATGGCACAAAACTGACAAGGAGTACTGAGACATTCGGCGACCTGACACCTAGCTCCAATACTTGTCCAAGGCGCAAACCAACAACCTTCCAAATTGGAAGGCTCAGGTTCGGAAAGGTCACAACAATTTAATTGGCTCACCATCCGAGTTACATTTTGCACACTCGTAACAGTAATTCAAATTTGTTTTGAGTTTTTGAGACAATACTTTGGTACATTGTATTATCCTTCAGGTTCTACACTTATTATAATTCGATTATACAACAGTTTCGTTCTGCCAATCTGTACACTATACCTTACTTGCCATGGGCTGTCACGCGCACAAGAACCGCCCAGATCAGATGTGTTCGTAGGAAAAACCTACGCACGCAGTAAACCAAAGAGGGTGATCTTCGAGGCATGGAACATGTGCCGATGCGTGGAATAATTTTTTTTCGGCTACAAGACGAGATAACCTCAAGACATGCCGGGAAGAAAATCACAGGGTACGTAGTGTTTGTAACTCGAATGGTCGAATGAGTCGAATGGTCTTGGTCCGAAGAAGCTGAGGCAAACGAATCCCCAGTCGAACGGGTTCCGAACATTGGCTATTAAGTATTTGTACACAAAATTTAAAGATGGCGTGGCTACTTGGCTGCACTCCGTGCCGTGATCACCTGGATCAGGTAGACTGCACGTTCACTTTCGCTCAGGTTCGATTGGGCATATCTAACGAACTATGGACCGCAGGCTCCTCCCACAAAGACCATTCGATTTAGTGCCCCAAACTCTACGGACTCTGAAATTTAATGTTTCCACAGGACTTTCCCTTTAAAAAGCAACCCACACAGGTCATAAAAATAAAGATGAAGGCTATCTTGGGGGTACTGTATGTAATAGCCTATACATCATGTACCAATCTTCGAAGCAGGGAATTATAACATGCTCAAGGTTGGCTGTTTTCTTTGGAAAATAACATCCACTGTCTTTGTTTGTTTTTCTTCTGCAGCAGTGGGGTAATCACCTTGGCAGATTACGAGGACGCAGAGCCCTACGCAACAGAGCCATACCCAGTAGGGTCCAAAGACGAAGGGACCGAGGACGAATCGAGGCAAGACGAAGGAGCAGCAGGGGGCGCGGCCGCAGCCGCAGCAGCAAATCCAGCCCCAGGCTTCGAGAACGTAAACCCGGCTCTTCTGAATGACCCGCAATGGTTAGCTGCCCTTCAAGCTACCGGTTATTTTGACAAGTAGCTATGCCATGATAGTCTTAGCATGTATTTGCATTGCAACTTGACTACATGTATCACCTCGAGACATAGTGCGATCAGCGCGCGCACATCATATTCATTTTTGGATGCTATACATGTACATGCTGATTTGGTGTGCTAAATAAAATGAAATTTCGCTGTTGTTATTTGATAACTGCAATCAATAAGACAAGCTGAATCGACATTTGTGTATACTTTATTGTTCATAGTATTAAGAGTAGAATAATAAACAAGAGTGTGCAACTCGCAGATGGTTCGGCCCACGGCGGAATTTTTTGTTGACGTAATCTTTTCGACGACGCTCGTGCTGCGAGTCTTTCGGAAAGTTTTCCCTCGTGCTCTTGGCCGGCTTTACACTACAAGGTCGGTGCCCAGCACGTGCTCTCACACTGCTCTGCGGCAAAATACGCGTTCTTCTGAAAAAAGGTGACATCAACAAAAAATTCCGCCGTGGGCGGGGGTATCTATATCTGCAGATTATGCAGGAGAGATCCGGAGTTGCACACTCTTGTTTACTTTAACACCGTGAAATTATTGCGATGGTCTAATTTCTGCGAAATTCCCGATCATGTGGAAATCCCGATATTTACACAGCGCGAAAAGGAGATCCATGAAAGGTTTAGCAAGAATGCCACAGGTTTAGCAAGAATGCCATTCTGCAATCGCAAAATTGAAACCTCGCAAACCTGTCCGGATTCTGAAAACGCGAACTAAAAACGCCGCGAAAATTTCACGCTTCACAGTATCTACTCTAGATAGTAGCAGTGGTGAGGCTTCCTGCAGCTTTATTCATAGGGAAAAAGGTTTCAGAGCAGACTCGCTCTCTTCCCATTCACTCTGCAAACTCGAACTCATTTCTCAATCAATTTTTGAGTTTGCAGAGTGAATGGGAAGAGAGCGAGTCTGCTCTGAAACCTTTTTTTTATTCATGCAATGTAAAATGGTGGAGACAATGTGCAATAAAACGATGAAAATAGGAAGAAATCAGGGAGTCGTAAAATACCGGGAGGCGACACGCCACACATTTCACGATCCGAGGATTGCTGCACTCGACCCGTGAAATTTGATGCGTGATTGAAACGTCGTCGTCATCTTCTTTTCTCAATTGTTTTTGCTATGCTTCGAGGCATTATTCTGGATCTCCAGAGCGAAAGCTGGTTGTTTCTGATACGTACCACGCATTACCTTAGGTTGAGCCGTGGCTTTTAATTTTTTTGGGAAGTTCACTGCTTTGGAGACGACGGAATGTCAAGGTAAGTTATTCACGAAATGTACTCAAATTAGAATTGAGTAAGTGCGAATGACACCCTGTTTTCGGAATAGCTCTCCACTAAACACACCACACCCATGGCCCCTTCATGTTGTCCAAGTTCCATTCTCGGTTTGTGTGAAGTTTCGAGATGAAGATCGATGATGCACTCACCTTTCCATGGAAGGGAAAAAAGTAGCATATCAAACAGAATCCATGCAGCATTTGATGCCACTATCCTCATTCTTCTGCATTCAAAGTGTTTCACATTATGGTCCATGAACTACACACAATATTTGTCATTTTCTTGACTGGTCATAGCTGTTCATACTTGAAGTAACTGTGTTCTGAACACATTGCCTTCAGGAAACGTAAGGCCGAGTCGCCTGACCGACTGAGCAAAGTTCTCTGCGACGAAAGTCACACTATTGGCAAATGCACTCAAGGCGAATACCCGTGAATACCCTGTATACTGCTTGATCCACTTATCACAGAAGCATACACACACACGCACGCACACACATACCATGCATACGCCCGTCGCAAGAGAAGAACGCAAGTCTGCAAATGCACTGGATGTGCACCCACAGATTTTCTCTTATAGCAACGATAGCGAACAAGATCTGAATGAGACAGATCAAGACTTGCACCAGATAACTATATAATCCACACAACTGGCAAAGCCATGTGAATCGACCACCAATGCACAACACACATACACCTTTGGACCTTTGGATGCCCATTGCTCCGTGCAATGATAGCATCAGGAGTTGCAGTATTTCCTGTGGCGAGTTAGATCATTGGGCCGACTGAAGTCCCTGCCACAGATGCAAATGAACACTCTAGGCTTTGGCACAGCCGCACATTTTAGCTGTGTCATATTGTGTCTTATACCGAGCTTCACTTTGGGAAAAGCTGTTGAGATGCTGGAGAGCACTTGTTGCCATGCTTGCGAAATGCCAGCACCATTGCATGCCTTCAGCTGGCACACTTCCTGGCGTAGCAGATTTCCAAAACCTGCTGCCTTGTGTAACTGTGTCCTGATAACATGCAGGAATGACTCCATCGCATCAGTAACACTCGCCTGTCTCATTGTCAGCAGTTCGCAAATTCCATGGATTATTTCACGTTCCATAGGCCTGTACACCATGGTGGCACTGCCACTCTTACATGGATCTGCACATAGGCAAAGCAAGGGTTGAGGGCGAAGGTTATAATGTCAACAATTTACATACTAGGTACACACGTAATTTTCAGGACATGAACGAGAGACTTTGGAAGCTCAGGGCCCTACGCTATGCTTTTTTGCCTTGATGACCTAGACAAAAATGCATAGGTACGGGACAGGTACGGGACAGGTACGGTCGAGGGTAATACGTTCGCAAATTCCATGGATTATTTCACCTTCCATAGGCCTGTACACCTGGTACACCATGGTGGCACTGCCACTCTTAGGCTGCGTTTACACGACAATGATTGAAAACGATTTGCGTTTACACGACAACGAAGTAGGACCTAAACGGAACGAAATCGTTGCGTTTACTACTATCGTTTACACGACAACGCCCGAAAACGATACCTAAACGGAACGAAATGGAAATGCACTTCAAAATGTTTTGAAACGTTTTCGTTCTCGTGTAAACGGTGAAAACAGTGAAAACGATTGGAAACGGAGCGCGGTCATGCGCGCGGCACTATATTTCGCGGGAAATACCTGACCTTTGTGACCACCAGCACGTACCAACTCCAACTAACGTGTTACTTCCCGCCCTTGCGCCAAGCCAGCACGTGCTAACTCCAGCCTGATCGCCCGTTTTCCGTTTTCGTGTGAACGGTTCAAAACGATTTGCCGTTCTCGTGTAAACTGTTTGAAAACGATTCGAGGCCAGCCCGTTTTCGTTCCGTTTCGTTTCGTTTCGTCTCCGTGTAAACGCAGCCTTACATGGATCTGCACATAGGCAAAGCAAGGGTTGAGGACGGAGGTTCACATAATGTCAACAATTTACATACTAGGTACACACGTAATTTTGCACATGAACGAGAGAGTTTAAAAGCTCAGGGCCCTACGCTATGCTTTTTGCCTTGATGACCTAGACAAAAAAGCATAGGGATGTTATAAATTCATATAAATTTTTACTTTTTGTTTTTAGACATACCCTGGGATTCGAACCCGCACTATCGCCCTGCATGCATCCCCCGATACACTTCGCATACATACTAATTCTTCCAAGTTGCTTCACGTTATGATCTTGTATTTGAAAGCCCTATTTGAATATGCATTGCGGCCAGCCGTCTTTGATTGTACGTACGGTACGGGACAGGTACGGGACAGGTACGGTCGAGGGTAATACGACACCGTCTACCACCTTGATGACGACAAAAAAAAGAAAAGGGATGTTATACATTTTTCAATTCTCCTATTTTTTCAGGCATTACCTTGAATTCGAACCCGCACTATCGCCCTACATGCATTCCCTCATACACTTCACATTCATACTCGTTCTTCCAAGTTGCTTCACGTTATGATGCCGCACTTAGGCGCACTATCACCTCCAGCTACAAAAAACCCCGCCCCCCTGCACCAGGGAAGTCGCAGCTCTGTGGCGTCCAGCCCGTCAAATATGCAGCTCTATATGTGGGAGGGATTAATCCTGGCTGCCACGCAGATGGAATCGTACATTGGTGCAGGGATCGGGACGTTGAGGTCGTATCATGCAACATTTCAGAATCTAAATACTTTGGCACCGCTTTTGCACATGTGCTGATAGACGCAAAGGACATGGATACAGTCAGCAAACCCGACTTCTGGCCGTCAAACGTCTCTGCCCGACCCTGGAGATTCAAATCCGATGATGATCGCACTTCAGGCAGTGTAGACCAGCGTCGCTACTCAACAGACGAGAAACAATGACTGAAGTCAGATCAAATCTAAATCCTCTTGCCCAACCCTTTGTGCCCCACGCAAGTTCATCACACCCTTCCCCTCATTGCATTACATATTCTTCTATATCTATTGGTCATATTAATATTTGTAGTTTGCGAAATAAGCTTTTCGTGTTGTCCAAGCTTGTCCGGGTCCATAACTTAGACATTTTAGCAGTATCAGAAACATGGCTCGACAACAGCATCTCGGACTCAGAAGTCGACATCCGGGGATTCTCAATGCACCGTCTCGACAGAAAGTGCAATTACAACTGCTCCTGTACAAATGGAACACCTTGCCAAAAGCGCGGCGGGGTAGTGATTTACAGCAGGTTGCAACTTGGGTTTAAGCGGATGTTGATTCAGCACATCGACCTGGAAATGGTTTGGTTGCGTTCCAAAAAACGAGAAGCAGGTGAATCATTCCTCATTGGCTGTCTCTACAGGCCACCGTCCGCACCGGCGGCTTTTTGGCAATCTTTACAGCAAGTCATGTATGACATTCAGGGCGAAGATCTCATTCTGATGGGCGACTTAAATGTTGATTTCTTGTCCCCTCAAACGCATCATTTTGACAATTTGAACACATACCTGCTACTTCCCCTTGATCTGAAGAATATGATTACGCACCCTACAAGGATCACACCTACATCTAAAACACTTCTCGACTGTGTACTAACGAACATGGATTGTGTTGAGCACGGAAGCGTTCACTCCTGTGAGTTCACCGATCATGAGTTTGTTCACACCAGTATTATTTTTCCGAAGTCAATTCCAACACAAGGACAAATAATATATCGATCCCGCCACCGTGATTACAGTGAGGCCTCTGCCTCTGATCTCTCTCATTTATTGTCAATTTCTGATCTCGGATCCTTCTCGTCCCCGTCGGTCGATGTAATGCTAGAAGAGTGGCAAGGAAAATTTGAAGACGCCTTGGATGTGGTTGCACCCTACATAATATCACGGAGACAATCCCCTGGAAAAAGGAAGAAGTGCCCATTCATGACACCGGAATTACTAGCTCTCATTAGGCGACGTAAAACCGTCTACAGAAAGTACCGCTCGTCTGACTGCAGTAGTACGGTTCTACAGAAGGAGTTCAAAGTTTTGCGCAGCAAATGCAATAACCTTTATCGCCAACTCCGAAATGCCCACTTCCGCTCCATCTGTGACGATTACCGGCGAGATCCTAGGCGTCTTTGGAGCACCATCAACTCAGTCACCCGGCGCACAAACCCAAGAACTGAACCTCTCGTCCAGGCAGATACCTTGAACAGGTATTTCCATAGTATTGTGTCAGATCCGAACCCGGCTTATGTTGTTCCAAGTGGTACCTCAAGACCGTGTGACTTGCACGAGTTTCGCCCTATTTCTGAGGATGAGGTACTTCGGCACCTTCAGAAACTCGACGGTACGAAAGCGCCTGGGCCAGATGGTCTCCTACCGAGCATCCTGAAGGCCGTTGCACCAGTTATCGCCTTCTCCCTCACCCTAATATTTAATACCTCTTTGTGCACTGCTGTGTTCCCGACACAATTCAAGTTGGCTAATGTCACGCCGATATTGAAATCCCGTAAGGGCGATCCTACTTCTCCTTCGAACTATCGTCCTGTGTCACTCACGTCGATTCTGGCTAAGACTCTGGAACGCCTGGTTCTAAATCAGGTATGTGACAGTTTGACCATCGAAAATCACCTCCACGATCACCAATTTGGGTTCCGACCAGCTCGTTCCACGACACAACTGCTCACACTTGCTGTAAATGATTGGAAACTGGCCCAGGACCGCGGAGAGACTACCAGTGTAGCCTTTGTCGACCTCAGCAAGGCGTTTGATCGCGTCCAGCATCAACAGTTACTCGTTGCGCTCCATGGCATGGGTGTTCATGCAAGCGCCCTGCGTTGGTTTGCGTCGTACCTCGCCGGGAGATCTCAGCGTGTCGTCACGCAAGCCAGCCAGTCTTCAAGTCTTGCAGTGTCTCGAGGAGTTCCTCAGGGAAGTATTTTAGGCCCTACCCTCTTTAATGTCTACCTGAGGGACCTTCCCCGGCTTGCGGAGACAGCGGGTTCAAAACTACTGATGTTCGCAGATGACAAGACAGTCTACTCTAGTGATCCGTCGAAGGCGCGTTCCGAAGCCAAGTTGTCATCGGCACTGGAGATACTAAACCACCACCTTGGCTCCATTGGTATGCAGATAAATACCGACAAAACCGTTGTCATGCAAATCCATCCCAAACGTGCCACAGGGAGTCAGCAACAACAACAAAGGCAACAACTGCAAATCACCTTGTCAAATGTTACGCTAGGGGAAGTGGAAAGCACCAGATGCTTAGGAGTCGTTGTTGACAATACGCTGTCCTTTGACCAACACATTAACAATGTCGTCCGGAAAGCCTCACGGAAGATCGGTGTACTGCGTCGATCTTTCCGCCAGATGAACCTGTTTGCCCGCCGTACTTTCGTTGTCGGTGTTATTCAGCCTGATCTAGAATATGCTCTCCCTGTATACCTTTCGTTTATATCCGCTAAAAATAGAAACAAGCTAGCCTCACTCCACCGGCGCGCTGTACGAGTTGCTTGTGGCGCATCACCCCAAGCTAATATCACGCCACTTCTTCACCACCTCAATGTTTCCTCTTTCCAATATCGATCAGTATTTTTGTTCCTTGTATTCATTTTCCACTGTTACTGTATTAAGCCGGCTGTTTGCTTGCAGTCCCTCTTTCCCATCTGTACGTCTACCCGAACTACTCGCGGCTCTACAACTCATAACATGAGTATCAATCGCTATAGATCTATGTCTGGCTTTCTGTCCTTTTCAAGTAAATCGGCTCTTGTTTGGAATTATTTACCAGACGACCTGAAGTCCTGCACTACTATCGCAGATTTCCGCGTCAAATTGGCTATTTGGCTAAAAGACAGCTTAACTCTTAATCATTGTTGTGATTTGCTTTCAAGCAATGTGCATAATCAGTAACTTGATGTTGCTGTTTTTGTTTTTTTTTGTTTTTTTTTTGGTTTCCCGTTCTCGGGGCCTTCTATTCGGTACTCTTTGTAGTTGTACTTCTGTACTGTTGAGCTATCCGAATTCAAATAAACATTAAAAAAAAAATAAAAAAAAATGATCTTGCGTTTGAAAGCCCTATTTGAATATTGCGGCCAGCTGTATGTGGCCAGCTGTGTTTGATGGTACGGTACGGTACGGTACAGGTACAGGATAGCGCCAGGCGTGACACAAACACACATACACACAAATAAACAAACAAACACCAAACGAGAGAGCTTGGAAGCTCAGGGCCCTGCGCTATGCTTTGTTGCCTAGCTCGTCGTGCATGTTGTTAGAACTGATGGAAATGCTTTTTCCTTTGATTAGCTACATCATTGTATTGCAAAAACGTTTCAATGAGATACTGAAGTAACGTCTTCTGCATAGCTATGGGACCGGTGTCATATAGTAGAATGACCCCCGTAGTGGAAGGCCCCCCCCCCCCCGGTCATTGTACTATATAGTAGATTGCCCCCGGGGTCACTCTACTATATAGTACA